TCTTGTAGTGGAAGTTAGTTAATGTTCTTATATTTTTCAACTAGCTGTGAGACCCATGTATTATATGAATTTATTAAAAAAACATGAAAATTTAAAATTTTAAAAAAATTAAATTTATAAGAAAAAAATAATAAAAATATTTAATTATTAAAATTGAGGTGTTTATGTGACAATCCGAAAATTTCCGTCACTGTAACCCGTTTCTGTCAATAAAACCGTTTGTATTCCAATTTTCTGTTAACTTTGGATTAGGTTAATTAATTGAGACTTTTAGTATGACCTCATGAGTGTCCAAACACATTAAAAATGCATGAGAACACCCTTGATATTGAATTGGAAATTTTTTTAGTTACAACCACGTCGGGTCACGACAACTTAATCGGGTACGACCATAAGCCTCGTTTAACGTCAGTATCGGGTAGATTTCCATCGAGCCTCAAAATCTAACCCTATATAAAGGTGAAAGAGCTTCATTTGAAGCTTTTTCACTCTCTCTCACTAATCTCTCTCTACAATCCAAACTTTGATCCAAAACCACCCCTTTTAAGCTCCAATTGGTAAGTGATCTATCCTAGCTTAAAGTTTAGCATGTTTAGCTTTCAAATTCATGTTTAAATCATCCAAAAGGACCAAAGACATGTGTTTATGGCCCAGGAACAATCCCAAACCGCAAACACCTATAAATGGGATTTTGAAGCCCCAAAACCCTCCCAAATCACTTCTAGTGCTTAGCAATGACTTAGGGGCTTACATGAACAAACTTAAAACACCAAAAATTTAACATATGGGGAGTAAACATGATTTTACGGCCCAAGATTATGCTTGGATCATAAACACCCCTTCTAAGGTTGTAAACACCATTTAAGGCGTTAAAATACCCCTTAAACACCTCCTATGCCTTGGAATAATGTCTAAAACCAACCACCATTGTGTTACGGACCTTAAACATGAAAGAAACCACCTCCTTAGGAGATTACAGCCGTAAACCCCTCCAAGGAATGGTTACTGGGGCGTAAACTCCTTTAAAGTGGTCAAATGGTGCCCTAACTTCCTTCCATGGCTTGTACATTGGACTAGAAACACTTGTGCTTAACTTAGGATCACCAAAACACAAAAGGAAAGGGTATATGAGAGTTTACAGCCGTAAAATCCTTGTTTACAGTTGTAAACTCCTTAAAATGGTCCATATGTTAATCAAATCACTTCCCTTGCCTTAGAACTGAACCTAGCCTCATTCCACTAGTGTTATAAGACCTTTAATCAACCAAGAACACACCACCCATGATTTTACGGGCGTAAACTCATGGGGATATGGTCATTGGGCCGAAAACTCCTTAGGAGTTTACTATTGAAGAGCAAACTCCATATTTAGGCCTTACACCCCCTTAGATGCAACCAGAATCACTCCTAACACTTGATATGAAGTGTTTTCGCGCCTCGGAGTGTATATTCTTATTTAAATAGTAGTTCAAAGTCTAATTAGATACAATTATGTATCTCTTCATATTACATAGGAACCTCGCGTGTATTCAAGCCCTGAACTGACACTTAGCATCCTACCGATACATTTCTCGTTTGGTGAGTTCATAACCCTACACCTTTTTCCGTGTTTTACAATGTTTTCAGGGGGGGATACAAGCAAGAGTACAAGAATATCTTGTACTCAAACTTTTCTCGCCCATAAACCGGCAGGTCTACGGGTGAGAAAAGTCATAAATGATATCGGCCTTCCTTTTTCAATATCTAGTTTATAGTGTGGTTATAGAACTAACAACTTAGATAATGGAGATTTACTTTTAAGTAGTAAAGAACTTAGTAAATTAATAACCTTAGGAATTAGTTTACTACCTACATAATAGTTTTATACACGTATTAAAACTAACACACTTTTCAAGGATAATCAGACTTTCAAGAAACTTCACTTAAACGCTACAAGTATGGTAGATACTTGTACACTGCATTCCGAATCGATAACCAACCACCAATTTTGAAGGAAAATAAGGGTTTTTCCTGAGATGGCATAACTGTTATTAACCAAACTGTGTAACAATTGGATAACTAAACTTTTCTTATAAGAAAATATGGGATTTTCTTGTATAACAACTTTTTCAAAAAACCAAAGGAAACTTGTTCTTTTACAGAAACAAATCGCTTATGAACTCACCAGTTTTATGCTGATATTTTTAAAACTGCTTGTATTCTCAGGTTCTCGTTAGATAGGTATCCCGCAATCTTTTGGAGAAGACGGAGCATATAGAAGTCACGTCTTTACTTTTGTTCAAACTAATGTATCTATAAAAACATGTATTACTTTGTTTTCAAACATATGTAAATATTCCTATATAATGTAATGGCTGTGTTTTCTATGCTGACTATGTACATTGGTTGTGATACTTTGCATGACGTCCTCCGCCCCGTAACGTTTCCACCATCGGTTTCAGGGTGTGACAGTTTAGTTTTATTTTAAATTTAAACTAATAATTTAAATAAATAAAAAACTAAAACAATTGAATTCAATTTAGAAATTTAGAAATTATAAGAAAAGTTGCATTAATGAATTGGATATATATTTATTATTATATTTATTACATTTAAATATTATATAAAATTTAATAAAAGAGAAAAACCACAATGAACATGTGACATAAGACATAAAAGGATAAGAAGTAACAAAATTATTTTTATTTATTAGGAAGTATTTATAAGACTGGAAGGAGTGGGAAGGAAGGTTCGCTCACTTTTGGTGGACCATACCCTTCTTTCCTTCACTCTCCTTTCCTTCACCTAAAAGCCAAGGAGTGGGAGGGAAACCCTTCCCTTACTTTTTTTATTTTAAATAAATCTAATTTTTTTTGTTATGAATTATATTTTTTAAATTAATATTAAACATAAAACTTAATTAAAAATAAAAAGCATTTCATTAATTTAAATAAAACATACATTAAACCTAAATTGTATAAAAAAAAGTAGAAAAAAAAAACACACATAAACTAAAAATCAAACAAACCACCAACGACCTACGAAAAATATTTTTTCAGAGTTTTTTCCCTCTTCTTCATTACGAGCTTGAGAGCCGGTACCGAGAGATGATCGACGTTTTCCATCAAAAACTTCATGTCTTCCATTTCTTGTCTCTCTGCCCGCTCCTTTTTCCTTGTTTCTTCTTTTTCTTTGTCAAAAGTCAAACGTTCGGAGAAATTTAGATTATATCGATCAAACGACGATGTTATCTTCCGCATTTCGTCAATGTCCACGTTGAAATCAGATGCACTCGAAGTAGTTCATTTTCCCTTCTCTTCTCTTTGTCCCTACCCATTGGGCGTTCAATTTCTTATAGCTCGAGTTCATCGTCCTGAGTTAAATATTGACCGACCCGAGCATCGGAGGAGGTTGTGTAGCCACTAGAGCCCGTTTTCGTGCGCTTTGATTGTTGGACTCCAAAAATAAAATCCCGCTCGTATTTTTTCCACCTAGGACTTCGGACCAATAATTTCCAACAATCGTGCCACTTGAATGGTTTTTCGACTTCCTCAAAGTAAAACTGCAACGCTTCGTGAAGTATTTCTTCGTTGCCTTGGCCGCTTTTTCGTTGGGTTTTTAGGTTGTTGTACAACCCGTTAATTTTTGAAACCCCGCTTGCTATTTCTCGAAACTTTGAGTTAAGTTGATGTTTTGTACGGTAGTCGTCACATTTTCCTAGCTCCTCTTGAAATCGTTCTAAAATGTGAAACCAAAAATGTTCTCCCGTTTGTGCGTTTCCCTGAATCGAATATTCAGAAATATCAACCCAAGCTTTGACCAAAACTAGCTCTTCGTGTGGAACCCATAGTGTTGGCTTTTGTCTTCCCGGTTGTGCGACACCCTCGCGCACTTGGTTTTTCCCTCTACGTCTTTGTGGTGGTGATGTTGGTTGAGTTTCGGGAACCATGTCTTCTTCTTCCGCGTCATCCGATTCATCGACAAGTTGGTGGTGGTGTTGGGTTTGAGTTTGAGTTTCAGTTTGAGTTTTGGGTTGAGTTTGATTTGGCGATTGTTGATCCGGAAACACAACAAAGTTTGAAAACATTTGCAACGGAACATTTGGAACTTGCATCGGGTAATATTGGCCAACATTTTGGTATTGGAATTGTAGTGGTGATTGAATGAGAGCATCGAGTTGGGGCGGTAAACTCCTTACTGAGATGAATCGATTGAAAAAATATTGTGAGCAGGGATGTTTATACTCGAACCATGACTTTTTTTTTCCGTCGATCGGAACTTGAGTTTGTTTGTCAGGATTCATTTTTTTTTTTTTGGTTGATATAAAGTAGAGAGTATAGAGAATAGTTTGATATGTTTAAAAGTTATGTGTATATATTTATAGTAGCTGTAGAAGGATAAAAAATAAATAAATAAATACAAAGTAGCCGTTACAGCCACAAGAAAAAAAAATCATTTTTACCAACGCTATTTTTTCAAAAAATAAAATAAAAAAATAAATAAATTGATCAATCACAGCATGAGAGAGAGAGCGGGAGAGGCTCCCCTCTCCGTTTCCCGCTCACAGCTCCCCGCATCCGTTCCATACGGCCTAAGGATTTATAGATGTATTTGACTTCAATTCCCTTTTAATTGCTTTAGAGTTTAGATTACTTTTGAAGGTTTTAAGGTTTGATTATTCGTTCAGATTTATTGTTGTCTGTAGAATATTCTTCCTCTCGTATTCCAATCTTATATCATTCTTTATTAGTATTTAGTACTCGAAACTTTTACAATACACTTGAAGTCATGTGTTATGTATCCCGGGCATCCGTGACAGCCATATAATCAGCCAATTGTGTCGCAACGCAATATTGATTGATCACCAACTTGGATCAACTACCACCGTATTTGGTAACAAAATATAACCAGGAAACTAGATGATCGATCCGCCAATTTTAGACCACAAAAGATCATCAAAGAGTCGAGGCTTAAAAAACTTACGAAAACTACGGAATCTCTAAGAAAAAGATGACCTTAATTTATGTAAACAATAGAAGACACAATATTATGCAACAAAACAAGAAAGTATAAATTCGGCTTAGGGATCTATCGGCTTCGGTAGCCTGCCTTCTTGCTCTTCGGGTACTAACCCCAGCAAGATTATAAGAATTCGGAGTAGCAAACAACGGGGTATCCAAGTCCCCCAAGATCCTCCCTGAAACCATTTCTCCGAGCATCCCGATCGTCGGACTAGGACAAATGCTGGCGGCCATATCTACGCCTCCACGGCCAGGCATGGCTAGAGGTGGCGGCGCTCGTTGTTGAAAGCCACGCCGGCTAACTTGTGTGGCTGGTGTGTCTATAACTCCATAACGCGGCGTAGGTGGCCGGCGAGGTATCACTGTTCCTAAACTTGGAGTCTTTTCTTCGCTAACAGGAGTTGGAGCTCCACGACCATATAACGGGACGATAGTCTTCTGAGAGACTTCGCTTTTGCATACGGGGCACTGCGGGGCTTTCTTTTCTGGGTTTTCTGGTGATGTATTTTGATGATGAATCCATTTATAGATACAAGGCCAACAATAGAGGTGGCCACAGAGTGTCACTACCGGATCTTGAACAGATTCTAGACAGATATTACAGTCAAACCCACCGGAAACTCCATTATCCAGTTTATCGATGCTTTTCCATGGTTTATCATCTTTGTTAAAGCTGTTTTCACGTTCGTTATTATCGAAGTACTGATCCGTATCCATTAATCTTCAACTGAAGCAGATGAAGGAGTAAAAGGTACTTATTAAATATGGATCTTGGAGTTGAAGGTTGAGACACATGTACAGGATGACTAGTTTATTCACATAAGAAACAGAAAAGGGATGGCCAAATGGTTAGGAAGCCATTGACAATTGTAAAGCTTTTGATTGAAGTTAGTTTATATAGGGGGAAACGAAGCGGTGATTGATGATAAGATGAATGAGGTGTAACAGCCGACAAGAACTATTACAATAATGTTATCGTCGAGATTGAAAAAGGGAGTCAAAGTTTTATATAACAAACCACAATTATTGATGCCTTTTTATAAAATAAATATTCCAAGAAAACAAATATTTGTGGTGTCCAAGAACCCTAGTTAACATCTAGAACGTCAACTTTGTTGTTCTACAAAAAAAAAAAAAAAATTATTATATCTATTGAACAAAAAGAATCTTTTATCTTAAAGGAAATTTTTTGGTCCCGGGCGATTAGATTTTACAATAGTTTGGCTCAACAAACAAGGGTTTTCTATTAGATAATTAGGTTGGGGGAGTGGGTGCAGTCCGGACCGCACTCCTCTTGCCGCATAAACACAAGCACCACTCCTAGGTGCGGTGCAGGTATGGCGGAGACTGCGATGCAGTTTTTGGAGGGAGCGTTGGATGCTTGATTTTGATTGGCGAGCTTGATTTGGGTTTTTAATTTTTAATTTTTTTCCTTTTAACCTTTAACATCTATTTAAACCTTCTAATTCTTCATTTGTCTTTTATATTTTTCTACTACATTACCTCTCAAAAAAATCAAAAAAATTTCTTCGTCTGATTTTTTTGAAAATTTTGATGTTATGTTCGATGTTTTTGTCGTTACTGATAAATTTGCAGAACAAACGTATGAAGCGGCGTGCAGTAGGGCATCTAGCAGTGCTGAACAGAGACTTGAAGATCTATTTGTTAAAATCGTGATGAAACAACGTCAGATACAAGGCTACTTTCAAGAAAATGCTACTTTTGAAAGATACTATTTTAAAAGGCGCTTCAGAATGTTCAAACAATTGTATGAACGTATAGTCAAAAAACTAATGAGGGAGTGTGATTTCTTCGAGCAACGACTCGATGCTAGATGTATACCCGATTTCACCCAATTATAAAAATGTACTGTTGTACTTCGTCAATTAACATATGACATCCCTCCTGATGCGTTGGACGAGAGTTTTAGGATGTCAGTTAGGATTGCACAAGATAGTTTACACTATTTTTTGCAAAACTATTATTCACTTTTATGGTCCAAAATAATTGCGTAAGCCTACACACAATGACATCATGAAACTTCAATATCATCATCCTAGCGTACACGACTTTCTTGGAATGTTAGGAAGTTTAGATTGTCTACATTGGACATGAAAAATTGCCCTACCTCACACCATGGTCAATTTACTCAATGTGATTATGGGTATCAAAAGGTCATAATATCACAGGATCAGTGGATATGGCATGTTTTTTTTGGTTCTCACGGATCCTTTAACGACATTAATGTTCTAAATCGTTTACCAATGTTTAACAACATATTCGACGGAGCTGCACCGGATTCTTCTTTCCAATTGTGTGGAATACCATATAAATATTGTTATTATCTAGTTGGTGGGATCTATCATGAGTATGCAGTTTTTGTTAAATCGTTTACGTGTCTGAATGTTACTCGTCGGAAAAAATTCAAGAAAGCTCAAGAAAGAGCTAGGAAGCATGTCGAACAAACTTTTGGAGCTTTTAAGAAATGTTGGCTTATATTGAAAAAAACAACAATTTTTTAAACGAAGAAAAAATGCATGAAGTCATGTATGCATGTATAATGGTACATAATATAATTATCGATATGTGAGTATGATGAAGAGGAAACCATTCTCGCGACACAAGAAATAGAAATTGGGGGTGACGAGTACATTGAAAAGAGAGCAGAGGTTCGTTGCAATGGAATATTTCACAATCTTCGTATGGACTTTGTGGAACACATTTACGGGATTCAACACATTAATCTCAATTTGGATCTGAAGGATGACCTGGAAGACGAGTTCTCGGATGATGACTTGATGTATTGTGTTTATTTTTAATCATTTAACATATGTTTTTGTAAGTTTAAATTTTCTAGTGTTTTTTATTATTTTTTATTTTTATTTTGTTTTGAAGTTTGTATGATTTTTATTTAGGCAATGGAATTTATTGTTATTTTTATTTTGAAGTAATGAAATGAATGGTTACTATTAAAAATATAGTTTTTATTTAATTAAAAAAATCAAATGTGGCACCACTCCTTGGGTGTGGCATGAAACCATACTTTTGTGGTAAAGTATGACGTGTCGCCTATGTGGCAGTGAATGGAGTGCACCTTTTGTGTGATATCACTCCTTCCAGCCTTAAGACTACATCTGAGTATCTGACATGGTTACATTTGGTACTCCGGATAATGCTCTTGAGGCAAAACTTTGATGGGTTATGAACATATCTACATTCTTATGTGATCATGCAACCCTAATTGCTTTGGATCTAAGTTTTTCTCTTTTGAACATACAAATATGAACACCAAAGCAATAACCTTAGATTTGAAATTCATATATAAAATTAGGGTTTGATCATTACCTCACATGTTATGTAGCAATAACAAGAACCACCTTGACTCTTGAAAGCTTAGTGCCATAAGTGTTGCACCTCTAATGGAGTCACAAACACTCAATGCAAAGGATAGGTAAGAGAGATGCTAGAAATCGGCCAGGGTTCTACCTAAAAACCAGAGTGGCCGAAAATCCAAATAAGAGGGTTTTTATATAGCTATGGCCGCTAGGGTTTTCAAGTGGAAACCCAAATTTCCTTGCTTAGGCCTTAAGTAGTCCATGGATGTCACACCCCAAAAGCGATAACGGCGGAATACGTTTCGGGGTGGAGGACGTAGTGTACAGTATCATCACAATTGCATAATAGTAAAAGCAAGAAACATACAACCATTTCATTTACATAGTGAGTGTATTTACAAGTGTGTTTTGTAATGTTCAACAAACACCAAAAGTAAACCAAAAATAAGAGATGGGTCTTGCATGCTCCATCTTCTCCAAAAATGCTGCATTCGTACCTGTCTATCTTTGACCTGAGGATACAAGTTATTTTGAAAAGAATACCAGCATAAAGCTGGTGAGTTCATAAGAGTTTAGTGTGAGTTCTTGTAAAAAAAGCATTAGAACCGATAGTATGAAAAGCTGAAATTTACAGTCATAAGTAGTAGTAAAACCTAGAAAATCCTATATTTTCCATAAATGTATAGTAAGTGAAATCCTTTAAGAAATATGTCATTTTCATCTTTGATAACCATTTATCGTGGAAGTATAATAGTGACTCACCAATAAGTAATGCAATATGGTAAGTTATACTTGAAGTAAATAATAGTGGTGCAACTTTCTTTAGTATTAGATACTTGTTTACTTCGGGATATTAACTTTACCTTTTGTTTAGTATTTTAGTGCGGATATAGTGTATTTCATGTACGTTACCAATAGTGTGAGTAATAGCGGACCCCATGACCTTCCCGGTCATGCATAGTGTAGTGGAGTAGAGGCATCCCTGGACCTGTGCGGCTTGGATTGAAGTTAATAGTCGGGATGTAGTAGCGTCTGCCCCGTATAGATCTATACATATAGCATCGTCTTCCTATCGTGTAGTGAATAGAGTATCTCGTAGTGGGTTAATGTGTTATCTCATGATTAGTGCTTTCTCTTGTATTATAGTGTAGTCGTCTTTTGTATAGCTCGTATTGTATTCTCTTATTAGTGTATAGTTTCATAATAGAGAGTATTATAGTGATGTAGAGTAGTAGCTAAAGCGAGTAATAGAGGCCTTAACTATACCTATTATGGTTAACTTAGGGTGTATGATCCTTGTTAGGTTAGTGATTTAGGCATCTAATGAAATAAGAAATACTCGTAATCCATACTAATATACAAGATATATAACTAAGAAATCAACGATAGTCGGACGGATAACCACTACCCTAAGCCCACAACCAAACAAGAACAGGAAATAAGGCGAGCTATCGGTCCTAAGTCCTTCAAGTCTTACTTATATAAATATATCAGTGTAGTTACCTTTTATAAGAAGATTTGTTAAATAAAAGTATTGTCCAAAAGAAACATTTAAAAACTTGTTTGTTTATCCAAAATAGTTTTGAAAACGAATAATCTATTTATAAGGCATAGTGATAAATCACATGTGATTTGAACTACGGGTAGTGAATCACATGTGATTAATTTCCGTAACATGAATAATTGTCTTGTATAGCTTTCCATAAACAAGTATAATCAACTTGTATCCCCCCCTAAAACATATAAAACATTTGAAAGGTTCATTAAAGGGGTATGAACTCACCTGAATTCGCGTAAATCGGGTGAATCGGGTAAATCGGGTAAAAGTGTCAGTTGAGCGTTTTGTACCAAATAATGACTTGTGCACCTTTTAGGACCCTAATGTCATATGAAATATGTATTTTATATGAAATTAATCATTTTATGCTTTCCATTTAAGTATTTAGGCATTCTAGCATCAATTCGGGGTTTTAGGGCCTAGAAGGGGTTCCCAGGAGTGGTACAAGGCCAAGAGGGGTTTACGGGGGAGTCCATGAGTTCATTCCCTTGGAGTTTACGGCCCAAAGGCTACTCCTTGGGATTTTAAGGCCGTAAGGCCCCTAGGCTTGGCCGTAAACTCATGTGGTCCTCCAAAATTGTAAGTTAAGGCCTTATTTCACTACCGTAAATTTCCTAGCAAGTGTCTTGGACTAAATTGGAGGGTTTAAACCCTCATTTTGGGGCATTTTGGGGAGTTTACGGTCCAGGCTTGTGCTTCGGCCGTAAACTCCATTTTGTTCTTCAAAATGACATGTTAAATGGTCCAAAACACTGTCCTACATCTTAGATAAATTTATGAAGGCCTTATGTGGAGTTTTAGGGACATTTTGGCATAATTATTAG